GCTTGACACCCAGCCCAAGCTTCCATGTCATCAAGGGGGCTGGTGTGTGGGGTGGGGGTTTCCAGGGCTGGAATCAGGGTGAGAAGCTCACCCAGTGTGGGCATTGGATGGGCTGAGGTTTCCCTCAGAGGGTCCAGTTCTGGAGGTTGGAAGTCTGAGATCAAGGTGTTGGTTGAGTTGGTTCCTTCTGAGACTTGGGGGAGAATCCAATCCAGGCCCCTCTCCCAGCTTTTGGTGCTGGTGGCAGTCCTTACTGTTCCTTGGCTTGATGATACATCACCCGAATTTCTGCCTTTGTGTTCACATGGCCTTCTCCCTGTGTGCATGTCTCTGTGTCCAGATTTCCTCCCTCTTATGAGGGCACCAGTTCTATTGTATTAGGGCTCATCCTAATTCCTATGACCTCATCTTAACTAATTACATCTGCAATGACTCTATTTCCGAATAAGGTCACATTCTGAGGTCCTGGAATTTAGGACAGCAACATAGGAATTGGGGGGAGGGGAAAACAATCCAACCCTATCCATGAATTGAAATCCAAGGCTCTATTTATCCTGAACCGGGTAAACATCACACATTTTCACCAACTAGGAAAAACTATGAGTCTCAGAAGAGACCGGCAGAGAACTGGGAATCGTTTCAGCACCAGGGACAGCGGCTCGCGATTTGGTTGTTCCTCGCACAGCAAAACTTACAGACGGGGAGGCTGATGGTATCAAAGGTTCCCAGGTCCCTCCTTACCCTCCCGGGGCCAGAAGACTCCATGTTCTGCAGGCAGGGCTCCACAGGCAAGAAAGGATCCAAGGAGGAAGGGTTCTGCCCCTAGTTTACATCTTCCTGCAGCCCGATTTCTTGCCAGCCATGCCTAATTTCTCTCAGGTCTTAGGGAGAAATTTATTTTAACACCTCTCATCTCCCTGAAGACCTTTGGGGATTAAATTCAGAAAATAGAAACACACACAAAGAAAAAAGAGTAGAAAGATAGATCATGGATTGGGAGAAGATGTTTGCATCATACATAAACAAAAACGGATAAACACACATAATATGTAAAGAACTTCTACAAAACAACAAGGTGTCCGGCTTCATTAATAACTCCAGGAATGTGCGTTAAAATCTAATGAAATATAATGGCAAACCCACCATAATGACTAACATTGAAAAGGCTGGAAAAACCGAGTTGGTGGGAAAGAAGCACTAAGATTCTCAGACCCGATTGGTGGGAGTAGAAACCAGTGCAACCCACTTTGGAAAACTGCTTGAAAGAACCAATTAAAGCTAAACATATACCAACCTTATAACCAGCAATCCCATTCCTGGATATGCCTTTGTGCATCAAAATACATATGCGAGAATGTTTCATAGCAGCCTTATTCATGATAGCCCCAAATATACCCCACTTATGGTATATTCTTAGGATAAAATATTGCACAGAAACAAAAAGGAATGAATCCCTGAGACACACAACACCCACTGTTGAGTGGAAGAAACCAGACACAAAAGTGGACATACGCTAGGATTCCATTTACATAAGTTCAACACGGGGAAACACTCAACTATGTTGGTTAGTGATGCACGCAGTGTGGGAAACCTTAATGACAGCAATGACCTGGTTATCGCAGGTGCCAGGGTAGAGGTCACTTCTGGGGGATGGAAGGCTGTCGTAAAGTGGGAGGAACATGGGACTGCCATGTTCTGGTGGCTGCCGTGTTCTGTTCCTGGATCTGTGCAATGGTCACATGACTTTATAATCATTTCTTACATTGTACACTTACATGCACTGCACTTTTTGAGGGGAGGAGTTTTGTAATATATGTCAGTTACAATTTTTTATTGCGGTAAAATTTACCATTTTCAGTATACAGTTCAGTGGCATTAAGCACATTCACGTTGTTGTGCACCCACCCCCACCATCTGCAGAACTCTTTTTCATCTTGCAAAACTGAAACTCTATCCCTACTAACCACTAACTCTTCATCTTCCTCCCCCAGCCCCTGGCGCCCACCGTCTACTTTCTGTCTCTATGGGTCTGACTCCTTTAGGAACCTCATAAAGTGAAATCAGACAGTCCTTTTGCGTCTGGCTTATTTCACTGACCATAATGTCCCCAGGTTCATCATGTTGTAGCAATGGGTCAGGATTTCTTTCTTTTCTAAGGCTGAATAATATTTCATTGTACATATATTCCACATTTCGTTTACCCGTTCATTTGTTGGTGGATATTTGGCTGTTGTGAATCATGCTGCTGTGAGCACGGGTGTGCAAATATCTCTTAGAGTCCCTGCTTTCGTTTCTTTTGGGTATCTACCCAGAAGTGGAGTTGCTGGATCATATGGTAATTCTAAGTTTAACTTTTCTGAGGAACTGCCAAACTGTTCCCCACAGTGGCTGCACCATTTCACATTTACAAACGTTATTTTAAAATGCTAGAAACCGTCTTCAGCTCTTTCTGGTGCCCCCCCTTCCCAGGGTACCAGGAGACCTCCCAGGCCCGGCGCAGACACCCCTCCCCATTACCCGTCCCAGCTGGTGGGAGTAGCCACTGTGGGGACGCAGCTGTCGTTAGCTCCTGCCTGGGGCAGAAGTGGGCACCGCAGAGCTGTTCCCAAGAGCTCTGCACAGGAGGTCAGGAGTGAAGGGAGAGGCAGAGACAGGGGCCATGAGTGGGAGGAGCTGGGGATGGTGGACCCAGGGCCCAACAGTATCAGAGAAGCCAGTGATGGTCCCATTTCACAGGCAGTGAAAATAAGGACCACAGAAGTAAGAGAGGCAAAGCCCAGTGCGGGGCTCAGACCTCCGTGTCCATCCCGGGGGCCCTGACACCTGCCTGCAACTCCCACGCCGCCTCCTGCAAACATTTTTCAAAATCCCTTTGATCTCATCGGTCTGTCTCTGGGAGTTTCTTACTCCTCGCGTCCCTGTCTCAATGTTTCTTGCCTCCGCGACTTTCAACTCTCACGCACCCCCCGCCCCAACCCCCGGACGCGGCCCAATCGCACCGCGGCTTTGGACCCCTGTCGGGCCAGCCCCGCCCCCTGCCTCTCCTGATTGGCCCCGAGCCGCACGCCCGGCTCCGGGACGCCTCTCGGTTGGTCGGTCTTTCGGCGCTCTCGGACCCTTATTTCTGATGCGGGAAACTGAGGCAAAGCCCGGCAGTGCCGCAGCCAAGGCCACACAGCGAGTCAGTGGCAGAGCCCACCGCGCCTCGTGCT